GCTATGAAATATGGGCATCTATCCAGAGTGATGTATAGACAGAGAGCAATGAATGTTCATCCATGCACTGTGCATGTATGTATGTGTGTATGTATGTGTGTGTGTGTGTGTGCATGTATATGTATGTATGTGTGCTCTCACCTGCAGGCAGGGCCAGTCTGCTCACACTCTGCACTTGGGAAACCGATCACATATAGCAGGAGCTCCCCCCGCACCGCAGGGACAATGAACAGGACCCCCACACCTTACCGCAGAGTCACACTGGACAGACGCGCACACTGCCCGCGGGTTCAGGGGGGTCCAAAGGCACAAGGCAGATAGGCAGAGCTGCAGGCAGGCAGCCGGGGGTCTGCGCAGAGCAGGAGAATGAGGGGAGAGACAGTCTTACACTGGCTCTCAGTAACAATGTGTGCTGTGTGTCAGTGCCTGCTCAGTGACAGTGTGTGTGTCAGTGCCTGCTCAGTGACAGTGTGTGTGTGTGTGTGTGTCAGTGCCTTTCTCAGTGACAGTGTGTGTGTGTGTGTGTCAGTGCCTGTCTGTGTGTGTGCTGTGTGTGTCAGTGCCTGTCTTAGTGACAGTGTAAGGCAGCACTGACTGAGCAGGGCAGGCTGCTCCTCTATCTATTCTCCTCCACTGGTGGCTGTACTGTCTCTTCCTGTAACACTGTGTGTGTGTGTGTGTCTGTCGCCTCTGTGTGTATATGCGTCTTTCCAGCTCTGTGTAGCAGTGTGTGTGTGTGTGTGTTTGTATGTGCCCAGCTCCCTTCTCCCCAGAACAGCTGCTCCCCCTTTGCATTGAGAAGCTTTTCCCTTTTGAGGAATCCTATTAGGAATAGGACAAATAATGGGAGGATTAACCCTTTGTAATTCACACCTACATCACAGAATCACAGTATTCATGCAGGTGCTCACAGAATGACCATTGGATCACCTGGTTTAACTTTTCATTTTATTATTTCCACCATCACTTAACATAGCAATACTTATCCCTTACCCCTTAGTGAAGACTCATGCAAATGCCATTACACTATAACCTGGTAGAAAAAACACCAACCTTCCTGAGATTTTTCTTCTATTCTAGGGTGGACTGTTGAGCATCACTAATATTCTTTCTTAAAGTCTTGCAAGAACTCTGATCCAATTATACCTAAGGAGACTTGGGAGACTTCGCTGAACACAAATATTAGTGTTTCAAAACAGTAAAAGGTATCACAATGATGATATTGACAGTGAAAGTGGCATTTTTTGCATTTTTCAAACACAAACGGCACTTTTACTGACGTTATCATTGTTGTGATACGTTTTACGGTTTTGAAACACTAATATTTCTGTTCAGTGAAGTCTCACGAGTATAACAGTACCCCCATGTACAGGTTTTATGATGTTTTCAAAAATTACAGAGTCAAATATAAGGCTCGCTTTTCAGTTTTTTTACATTGAAATTTGCCAGATTGGTAGCCTAGGAATGAGAATTATCCCCATGATGGCATACCATTTGAAAAAGTAGGCAACCCAAGGTATTGCAAATGGGGTATGTCCAGGCTTTGTTTAGTAGCCACTTAGTCACAAACACTGGCCATAATTAGCATTAAATCAGTTTTTTGCAATTTTAACACAGAAACAAATATGAATGCTAATTTTGGACAGTGTTTGTGACTAAGTGGCTACTAAAGAAGACTTTACATATCCCATTTGTAATACCTTGGGTTGTCTACTTTTGCAAATGGTATGCCATCATGGGGGTAATTCTCATTCCTAGGCTACCTTTGGCAAATTTCAATGTCTATAAACTGAAAAATGTAATGTGCTATATTTGACCCAGTAACTTTCAAACACCATAAAAACTGTACATTGAAGGTACTGTTTTACTCGTGAGACATCCCTGAATACAAATATGTGTACTTTATTGCAGTAACAGCTAACAGTATTGTGACATTCACAGTTAAAATGCCATGCAGAACTAAAAAAATGACAACATTTCTTAATTTCTCATATATTGTTTTCATATTAAATCATGTTTCATATATAAATATTTGATATGCCATGAAAGCCCTGTTTCTGCTGAGCAAAATTATATATAATAAGTGTGCGTACATTATAATGAAAGAGGTGAATTCTGGTTGAACAGACATTTGGCACAAATTCTAAGTTTTGTTTACTTTTTGTTTTGATCACAACTTGTACAACTGTCTCAGTCCTTAAGGGGTTAAGTAATGAGTTTAGGGGTTTTAGCCTCGGCTATTGCTAACAGGTAGATAAAATCCCACACAAAGCCACAACATCTCCATATACAAACATTAGCAGCACACTGATGCATACTGAAGATCTCTGAAAATAGTTCAAGATACTGAAGTGACTTTTAACGTAGCACTGTTATAGGATGCCACATTTGCCACAAGCAAGTCATAGCATTCTCACAAAGCGGGATGCCATGTGCTGAATGCTGAAGTGTATCATCTATCATCTGTTACAGCATTCACTTCAGAGTTCCAAATTGCCTCTGGAATCACCACCAGCACAGAAACTCAGCTTCATGAAATGGGTTTAATAGCAGATGTACATAAGGCTCACAGCAACATGAACAATGCAAAAGCATCAGCTTTAGTGGTGTAAATCACGCTGCCTCTTGACTCGGGAGTAGTGGAAACATGTTCTCTGTAGTGATGAATTATACGTTACCTTCTGGCAGAATCTGGGTGTGATGGATGCCAAGAGAACACTACCTTCTGGAGTTCATACTGCCTACTATAATATCTGGTAAAATAGAGTTAATGGTTTGGGGCTGTTTTCAGGTTTTGGGCTTGGCCTCTTAGTTCCAATAAAGGGCCAGCTTAATGCTAAAGGATACATTTTAGAAAACCAAGTGCTTCCAACATTGTAGCAACAGTTTGGAGACAGCCCTGTATGTTGAAGCATGACTGTGCACCTGTGCACAAAGCAGCATCAATGAAGTCACGGTTTGAGACGTCTTATGTGGTGGAACTCGAGTGGCCTACACAGTGCCCCACCTCTTTCCCACTAGACAACTTCAGGATAAAGTGGAATGCCAATTGCAACCCAGAGTTTCAACTGCCTGACCTCATAAACGCTGTTTTGGCTGAATGATGACGCAAAATCTTGCAAAATGCCTCCTAAGAAGAGCTGATATAGCCACAAGAGGGGGACAGCTCTATATTAAAGTTTTGTATGAACAGCAATATTTACTTTGCAGGGTTATTTCCACCTCTAGTAGCGGTCTAAATATTACTGAGCAAATGGTGGTGAATAGTGATCACTTCGCTATGAGGGAGTCTTTAGTTCCAAAATAACGATGGTTATTTTCAGGACAATTGGTTCCATTTAATGCTCGTAGTATTGGAATAGAATGTCCAAAAAGTTCATGTAGGTGTGACTCCACATACTTTTGACCATACAGTGTATAACAACAAGCTAATTGCAGTTGATGGAGTTACCAATGTAGAATAAAAATGACAATACACCTAAATACAGCTATAACATGGACTGCCTGTCAATTAGCTGTCTACATTTCTTATGTTTTATTAGGTGTTCATTTTATTGTCAATACTTTGTTGTTTGCTGGTTTATCATAATTGTGTAATCATGTTTTAAAGAATTTAAAACAGTTCTCTTTACTAGTGAGAAATGTATGCCTTGTTTGATGTTGGTGTTGCTATGTGAACAAGGATTCAGGCTTTAAATGGAAACTTTCAAACTAGCTGTCCAGTTTCATGTTGTATTTCAGTACTGGGGCAAAATGAGCTTTCTTTTTCATATTATTATGATCTACTTGTAGGATATGAATATCCATTTTGCTTAATATCCTAGCTGTTTATATAAGGGTTAATTTGAACCAAGAATAAATTTGGAATTGTATCTTCGATTCTGGGAAGAATTTATCTAATATCATTTACGAGAATGACCATACTGATTTCCAAATGTTCTTGTTAATTGTCCAAGATTAAGGTATTTGTAAATATCCTGTTTTGATCAAATATACATGTGTTATATAACGTAGAATTCTAATAAGAAACAGCTGTTTATAACTTGTGAAAAACAATGTCATTGTCACGCCCATATGCTCATTTTCCTCCCTCCCATCCTGCTATGAAAATGGGGTATAAATATAACTGACGTATGAATACAATTTGAATTGGTTAATGAACATGTCTCTGCTGTTCATTTCCAATTTCCAGAGCTCTGTATGAGTTGGCAAATATCCATCATCCACAAAGGGCCCGGGCTGATTTTATCCCCAACAAACTGGTGTCAGAAGTTTGGGTGCAATTGGGAACGGAGTTGCAGGTAAGGGGATCTTTAGCCCCTTGGGGACACATCTTCTGGAATTTAAGGGAATCATGACGGAGTATTTCTGTCGTGTGTCCTTAAGGGGTTGGGGACCTTTGCCTGCTTCTGCCATCCTCCCACACATTGCATTTCTTGTTTTAATGGGTTTTTTCACTATTTACATTTTTAAAGGGGATTATCACAGGATAATGTCTTTGGTAGACGTGGTATTTTAAGTCTTAGGTAGACTTCTATTACTCCACGGGTTGGAGGTTGCCTTTGGTAGGCAGTGGTAGTTATGTGCACATTTCCTCTTTGGTAAGAGGTTCACCTTTGGCCAGGTGTTAAAAAGAATTTCAAGCCTTTGGTAAGCTGTGATGTACTGTGATGTACATTTACATATGGGAGACGTCCCTAGATCCCTCTTTGGTAGAGGTTGCCTTTGGTAGGTTGTAAAACAGATTTCCAGTCTTTGGTGGACTGTGGTATTTATTTAAAGTTGCAGATAATGTTGCAGACTAAAATGGTTATTGTAAAAAAAATAAATAAATAAATAAATAAAGGGGGTTAAAAGGTATGATGGATGTTTGGCATTACTCCGGCTTGCTAATTTATGTGCTATTTTATGATTTGCAACGCTGATTTTAAGCATAAAGTCTTAATTGAGGGAATGTCAAAAGTACATGTAAAAGGTGATGAAGAAAAGGAAAAATTGGGGGTTATTTAAGGGGGGCTACAAATTCTAGAACTAACATGATTTCTCTGCATGTATGTTTGTTTGCATAATGAGCCCCTTATTTTTATACTTGGACAAAAGTACTATAAGCCCACTACACTTTTTCATGAGAGTGGGATGTATGATTGTTTATATGATGAGCCCTTTATTTTCATATTGGGACAAAAAGTCACTTCATTCAAAACGTCAAACACCACATTCTTTCTGCCCTGTGTGTTTGTTGCAGAGAATTTATGTTGTAAATTTAGAAGAGAGCAAAATTTATATTTTCAGCGTTCCAACACATGCTTCATTTTGTGCTGTAAGCTAACTTGTAGTACTCCAGTACGTCACATGTTGTATGTGCTTTAAATTGTATGTATTCTGTAAATTGTTGTATGGGGTTGCTGAGATTTTATTGCTTGTGACCCAAACTGTGAAGAAGTGGGTTTGAAATTTTGCTCATAAAATATAGGATCAGAAAACCATGGACAAAGGTTTTAACCTGTGTTGATATGACTTTTGTAAACTCAAATTGACCGGTCAAAATTTTGCCATGCCTTTAACATGGAGTAGTATAAATATTTTGAGTCTTTGAGAGTTCTGACAAATGCAGGTGATACCATGTCTGTGTAATCTGGTCCAAATGTTCTAGAAGCGTATAAGAGAGAAATTCCATTGACAGGTTACATATGTCGCAACTGGTTAATGCAAGTGTTATACAAATGTTTAAGTCAAACGCGTTATATGGCCTTACGGGATCCCTTCTTTAAAAAGAAAAAATAAACCCTTTGGTACCAGAACTCTTAAATAAATCTGATACAAACTAAAATTGGTATACCTTACAATAATATGTTCTGAATACAGCTGTTAGAAGTTTATTCTGTGTAAATGGTGATTGTGATAAATGTGTGTTTTGGGTACTGTAACGGACCGTTTTGCACACAAGGGGTAAAAACCGTTTAGGCGATCGGCCCCCTTTCCAGAGATCCAGGCACAGCTACTGCAGAACACCAAAACTCACGAACTGGATACAAAATAGCACTCCAACTCCCGAACTGGAACCTCCCAAATAGCTGCTAGCAGATGAACAGGAAAAGCAGACGAACAGCTTACACTCCTGGCAATCAGTCTCTAACAGCATACAGTGAATCCCCCCAAGAACGAGACAAGGCTCCGTGTTGAGGGTCAAGCAGTGGTCTCTTTAATGAGGGCTACCTGCCCGGCTTTTATGCAGGTCTCCCACCTGGTGGACACTCCCCTAGGGGACCAAATGGGAGACTGTGACAAGGGACAGACAAGTATACAAATAGGACACACAGTCACAGTATATTCCCACAATGCATCCTGGCTTCCTCCCCTCTGCCCTGGGAGATAATTGGGAAGTAACTCAATTATCTCCCAAGACAAAGGCAAAACTCCATTACACACGTGGGAACACAAAACCAGCATAATACTTTAAAATGCACAAAGTAACATTTACTACATAAAACACAGACATGTAACATATCCCCAGATAGCTCAGGTCTGAGTGCACATTATTAGGTGAATGGCACTCAGACTACACGAATACAGTTCAATCGCCATGGAGCCAAAGTCTTTACAGTCAGTTTCATACGAATGGGCTCCATGGGATTCCTATCTGGGGTATAAGACATTCACACAAAAATACCGAACACCGGGTCATTCGTGTGCTTTCACCGAACAAGAAGGGAGGTCGGCGGCTTCAGCGGTGTTCGCGCAAAACTGTGTCCGATTTTAGTTCCATGAAAATAGAGGCGAACACCGCTGTTCATTCGTATGGTTTAAAATGGCCGCGACCTCGTGTTCGGGATACGAACGGCGGCCACCCAGCGTTCATCAATTAAGCTGCGGTTAACCGCAGCTTCAGGGAGGTTAATTGACGGCACACTCCAGCTCCCAGGTGGTCCAGTCATTCGTACGGTTGTTCGGTAGATTGAAACTACCGAACAACCGGCGGAAAATCACGAATACAGCTTTTCTGCATGGAAAAATAAAGTCTTTTAAAAGGGGCCATAGTCCAAAGGCAGCAGGCGAGCAACCAGGCTTCTCCAATGCAATGTGGCGAGATTGGTCTCGTCACAGGTACTCATTTTAAAGTGTGCAGTTTAATTGTCATGTATGTTAATGGCTATTTTGCTGTGTTATTTTAAATTATATTTGAATAAGTTTGTCTTAGTATTGATACAGATGAAAATGGCAGCGTAATAATCTATTAAATAACTGATTTATTATTGAATACTAGTCCAAGAGCAATATGAGTTGTAGTCTTAAGAAAGAAAAAAAGGAGGGAGTCTGTTTTTGTAAATTTTAGCTGATTTCCAAAATTCTGTTGCAATAATGGACTTCCTGCCAAAATTTGACTTTCCTGTCCAGTTGCCAGGTGCTCTGATCTAATCTTAAAGTAGTACTGCTTGCATAGTTTGCAGACATGCATAATGCACAAACATGAGAACCTATATTATGTCTGGCACAGAGTGTGACATTTATTAATTTATTTTGGATTGAGTTAATTGCCTGTCCATGAATATGCTTTTTGTATTGGCATGTCTGCTGGTTATCTGCTAATTTCGTTGTGTTCTGTGTTATAAGATGACGTGTGATATTACAATGAGTATGAAGAATATTTAAAGAATATTTGCATGTCATTAACGCAAGCCTTTAGTGTCTTTTTACAACAGATTAAAAAAAAAAACGCTGATCAGCCAACAAGAAAGGGGCCCCTGGGAAAGAAAAAGAAAAATATATCATTTGCTTTTCAAAATCGTGGATCCACGTTTCAGTATTATTAGGGGAGTATTTAGAGTTAACGCTACTTTTAAAGTGCATTGCATTATTTAAAAAAAGAAAAATTTGTTATGTTATATGGTTATATAACAAGAAAAATTATGGATGTATAGGATAGGTTTTTTCCAAGATTTAGATTCATCTAGTATGCCTCATTGATTATAGGAAAATGATGAAATGGTATTTTTAATAGAGATCAGATAATTTCTTTTGAGGCAATTCTAAACTACTGTATTATATTTGTATTGGTATATTGAAAGCATTTTGCTGACCCAGAAGAGAATAAATAATATAATAATTATAAAAGGAACCATACTATGGGAAGAGGTCACCCTATTAAACTGCTAAGGGGTTAAACTCATTTTTGATAAGCATATAAAATTTAGTTTTTGTGGTAAGAATTTTTGATACTCAATTTGAACTCAATTGAAGTATTACAACCATATCCTTGCAGGTATAGGAAACAGCTGCAATATGATTTTAATATTTCAATATATTAGTGTTTTCAATGTATTCTGACAATGGAAAAGTTCCTAACCGCATGTCTGCATTAAACCTGTGACCCAGACTGTCAGTATTGCAAACCCTATATGAAGACTCGCTATCACTGTTTATGTATACACCCCTAGACAACCGTGCTATACATGCACAATAAATCTTCAAAAGCTTATTAATATTGTATCTGTGTGGTACACAAAGAGGGGTACACAAAGAGGGGGTGTGAGTTAGGTCATCTCGACCTGCATATGGAATATGCTTCCTCCTTGTTCACTTTTGGTTAAACTGTTGGTCTGTGACTGGCCCTCTTTGACCCCAACTGAATTTCTTGGGAAGATTCATGAGAAAGATACAGCAGGTTGTTTTGATATAAAGAAAGAGGGAAAAGTATGTTGTATCAGTGACAAAAGGATTGTGATCTTAAGCAGGTGAGACAAAGAAATTTTGGAGGTGATAGGAGATTGAATCAGAAAAGTTTTGAAAGCAGAGGTAGAGAATTTGATCAAAGGATCTAACTTTTGTAGAGATGGTAACTTCAGCACTGTTTTAATTGTGGATAGCAGGGATTCACCCCAAGGTGCTTGTGGTGAACCCAGTTCTCCTGGTCAAGCTGGCCCCACTGGTATTGCTGGTGTCGCTGGCTTCCCTGGTGCCTGTGGTGCTCCTGGACCTCAGGGCCCCAAGGGTTCCCCTGGACCTAAGGTTAACAATGGTGAACCTGGTGCTCAAGGAGACAAAGGAGAATCCGGTGCTAAGGGAGAACCTGGCCCAGCTGATGTTCAAGGACTCCCACTCTGGCAGGTTCCTCAATACCAACCACAACTTTCAATCTATACCCACACCCAACAACCTCAGCCTAATACAAAGATGGTTCATGTTTTTAATACTTTATATATAGTTTTGATAGATAAAACAGTATTAATGCTGGCTCTTAGAGGATGTACAAACTGAAGTTGGGACCTAGTCATTGTTTGCATAGGCTGCGCAATGTGAAATAACTAAAATAAAATAGGATAATAAGTATGCTTAGTCAATAAAGAGAGGAATTGTAGGATATGAATATCCATTTTGCTTAATATCCTAGCTGTTGATATAAGGGTTAATTTGAACCATGAATAAATTTGGAATTGTATCTTCGATTCTGGGAAGAATTTATCTAATATCATTTACGAGAATGACCATACTGATTTCCAAATGTTCTTGTTAATTGTCCAAGATTAAGGTATTTGTAAATATCCTGTTTTGATCAAATATACATGTGTTATATAACGTAGAATTCTAATAAGAAACAGCTGTTTATAACTTGTGAAAAACAATGTCATTGTCACGCCCATATGCTCATTTTCCCCCCTCCCATCCTGCTATGAAAATGGGGTATAAATATAACTGACGTATGAATACAATTTGAATTGGTTATTGAACATGTCTCTGCTGTTCATTTCCAATTTCCAGAGCTCTGTATGAGTTGGCAAATATCCATCATCCACAAAGGGCCCGGGCTGATTTTATCCCCAACAAACTGGTGTCAGAGGTTTGGGTGCAATTGGGAACGGAGTTGCAGGTAAGGCAGTCTTTGTAACTAGCTTCACACCTCCTCTAGTATATGGGTGGGAACGTAATGCTGCCATGAATAATGATCAGGAAAAGAAAATTATGGTAAGTATGAAACAATTTTCCTTTTTCCTGACCATTATTCATGGCAGCATTTACTCATGGGTAATACCCAAGCAATATATATATATATATATATATATATATATATATATAGAGGGAGGGACAGAGTTCAAAAACAGCTAATAGCTATAAAACCATTATTGAGCTGCATAAACCTTAGAAGACTTTAAAAAAGCCAAACAAGTAATCAATAGGATAATGTCATAAAATCTGTTTAAGACAAGATAGTTTTCCCTAGAGGCTGCTAGGTCAGAAACCCCTTGGCATTCAAATGTCTGAAATATCCTGAATAAATCTAGAACCAGATAGGAATTAAGGCCATGATAGCCAAACCTAGAGGAGGAACAAGGCTAGACCAATACAAGATAAACTCTCATAAGAAATAAGGAACCCATCTCGTAATGGATAAAAAGAGAATTTAGAGAACCTCCATGGAACCCAGACATGGTCTAGAAATTATAGATCCATTATGTCAACAGTA